ACTCTTTTTCATCATCCATCATGTCCTATTTTTCCTTTTTGTTTCCTATCACTTCTCATTACTCTTTTTTACTCCCTTTCTTCTTCTATTACTTTCCATTACTCCATTGTTATTTCATTTTTTTTATTAGCATCTTTCTCCTTGATCATTGTCATTTACTTATTTTTTTTATTTATTGTTATTGTTTTTTTTATTGTATCACTTCATTAAAAATAAATACAGTGATTTTTTTCTTTAAAATCGAAAATGTGGAATTTAAATTTTAAAAAATTTCATTTAATAAGATTATTTTGAATAAATATGTTTGCAAAAAAAATTTTTTAAAAAATATCTTCGCAATAAAATTTTGTTTAACCAATCAAAAATTAGCTAAGTTAAAAAAATCTATACGTTTGCCGATCAAATAAATGGCCTTAACTTATCAGGCACTGAATCATGCTACACAATTCAAGATTATTTATACAGACTTAATCTAAACGTTAGAAGATCGACATGTATTTTTTTATTATAAACTAGCAGCAGCCCGTTGCTTCGCACCGGGACCAGTGAGTTTGTTTAAATAGAAAAATTAGTATTATAATGTAATACTAAATAAATTAAAGATGGTTATAGTAGTTTTTTGTTTTTAAATATAGCTTATATTAATGATTTGACGTTTGCGATTTAATAATTTTTCACCTAGGGTGATTGAACCAATATAATTTACCCGGTGATATGACCTCATTATTAATTTGTACATTAAATTTTATTGGCTAATTAATGAGCTAATTATTTTATATTTTGAATTCTTTCGGTTCTTCTTTGTAACTACTAAGGTATGTTTTTTATTTCTTTTTGTTTTTGTTTATTTATTACATGTAATTTCCGTTCCCTACTAACTTTATTTTTCTTTTAGTTTTATGGGTTTTGTTTTTACTTGGTCCCCCTGTTTATCTCATTTTGTCCCTTCTCCATTTTTTTGTTTTCTTTTTGTCTCTTCATCTCTTTTGCTCTTTTTATTCTTCCTTTCCTTCATTTTTTCCATTGTTTTTTATTTCCTCTTCGTTCCTTCATATTTTTCATTCCTTTACACTACCCTTCGTTCCTTTCATTTTTATTCCATTCTCACTTCATCTTTTTCGTTCCTTTACACTATCCTTTGTCATTTTCATTTTTTTTCCATTCCCACTTCTCTTTACACTACCCTTCGTTACTTTCATTTTTTTATTCCCTTTGCACCATTTCGTCCCCCTCCATTCTTTTCATTTTTTTCATTCCCACTTGATCTTTTTCGTTCCTTTTGTTTCTTTCACTTCCCCTTTCCTCCATTTCGTTTCTCCCTTACTCCCCTTCGTTTCTTTTATTCCCTTTTACTCTCCTTATTTTTTCATTCACCCTCATTTTTTTATTAATTATAAACTTCATAATTATTTCTTATTTTATATTACGTCAATCTTAAACTTATAACCAACTTAAAAAAATATTTGAATAATTAAATGTATTTATAGAATCTATTCATTTCATTTATTATTATTCTTTTGGTACTTAATTTAACTAAACCAGAATTAAAATCTTTATTCAAAAATCTGGTAGTTATTTAAAAAATTTCGGATATGGATTTGGTTATAATAATCTAATATTAATCAACAATTTCTTCAAAAAAAAAAATTGATATTTTTACATATTTAATAATTAATTAAATTAATTGATTGATTTTTATGAATTTGAAAAATCAAACTATTTATCCAGCGTTCAATTTAATTAAAAAAATCTTACACATCTTTCTATCAAAGTTGGTCAATTTTCCTATATCTGATATGTTATGTTGATTTTTTTTTAAAAAAATAATAATTTTGTAAATATATTTAATATAATATTTTATTTTTTATTTAATAATAATAAAAAATTGAAAGAAAAAGAAAGAAATCAGTTTAAAAAAAGGGAAATTTCCGAAAAAAAAGGAATCCGAAAAAAAAATAAGTACGAAAAAAATTCCTGAAAAAAAAGGACAATAATCCGATCCAAAAGAGTGAAAAAAAAAATTTTTTTTTAAAAAAAATAACAATACGGTCTAAAAAAAAAAGATCAAAAAAAAATAAAATAAAATAAATTGGTCTTAAAAAACCAAAACAATGGGGATTATTTAATAAAAACTGAAAGAAAAGGGAGAAAAATTTTTTTCGGTTTGAAAAATTAAAAAAAAAAGAACCAAAAAAAATTAATAATCAAAAAAAAAATTCCGACTAAGGTAAAATTTAATTAACTGAAATTGGATTAGTTGATTGGAATCGACCATAAATAGATCAGGTGGAGGCATGTCACGGTTTTAATTACATGGCATGGGATTTCAAGTTACACAATTCAAATTATACAAATCCATACGTGATACGTCAGACAAATTTTTTTAGTTATATAGATAAGTAGATGTGTTATATAGATGGAAATTTGATGCAAATCTTATTATTACACAAAGGAGATGTTGCTGTATTGTAGAATTTATTATTTATTTATGTGTTTACAAATACATTATAAAGGTAATTTTAAATAATTTATTGATATAAAAACAAAAATACCATCATAATGTTCTATTGTTAAAAAAATCCATATTAATCTATATAATTGAAAAATACATCTCAAAAAAAAAAACACCTGTTATAGGGATCTATCATTATTGCTAAAGATAGTTAATTACTTATTGCTTATCAGTATTAGAAAAATGTCAGTTACCGATCCATTATTATAAAAAAATTTATTTTTCTATATTAAAATTTATTTATTTATTATATAGAATATAGATTATACTGATCTATTGCTATTCCTATAAAAGTTAATTACCTATCATTTATAAGTATTAGTGAAAGGGTGATTACCGAGAATAAAATTAATTCTCACGTACATTAGTAATTAGCAGTTAGAATGAATTTGCCGATCAAGTGGTCTTAACTATTAAGCATAGATCAGGTGCGAACACATTAATAGATCATATTAAATGTTACACAACATTAGTAATTAACATTGTATATATCGATCAGAACGTAATAGGTCAGGTGCAGAGGCGCAGATGAATAACACATTGGACAATTCAAAAATTATTTATATAGGCTAATCTAAACGTTAGTCACACAAACACAATTTTTTTAATTATATAGATATATAGATAGATATAGATTATTAAAAAAAAAATATTATAGCGTAATTTATTATTACATTATTATTACATATGTAATACCGATACGTTTAAAAAAAATTACATAAATAAAAAAATAAAATAAATAAGTTAATCATTGAGTAACAAATTTCTTAATTAATCGATTTATAGTATAACGACTTTATCGCTACTCAATTTGTCGATAAAATAAAATAGAACGTTAATGATATATTTTGTTGTTTAAAAAAAATTACATAAATAAAAAATAAAATAAATAAGTTACTCATTGAGTAACAAATTTTAATCCCTATTCTTGACGTTATTTACAATAATTTGACCCTAGTAAAAAATCTTAATTAATAGTCATGTGATCTAATATTGTAATTTGATTGGTTATGCTAATATCTTACATTTGACTAATTAAATAATATGAAGTCATAATAAAGTATAGTTATATAAAAAAAAAGTGTATTTCGCTTCGAAAATTAAATATGTACTGTATTTAATCGAGTATATCGAAATTTTAATGTGACATTATTTTCTTCTTTGCAATCATTTAACGATAAATTAATGAATGTAAGGTGGAACGAATATGATATCGTCCATTAAAACAATTCTAAGTCAAATCGTTTGTGGTATAACGACTTATCGCTACGCCACAAATTTGTCGATTGTTTATTATTCTGATAATTGTTTCTGTGTGTTGTAGGTACATATTTTGAGAAGAAATTGACGAAAGATTTATGTTGTAAGAAAATTATTAACAATAAAATTGACAAGAGGTGCATGTTTTGTAAAGAAATTATAAAAAGTTTTTTTAATAAGAAGTTATTTTTTTTTAATTATTTATACTTTATTCATTTTATACCAAGAATTTCTGTGTAGAAAAAATTTCTAAGCTAAATTCTTCATAGAATAATCATGCTGCAATTACTGCATGCAGCCACTGGTGTAGCAGTAAATAAACCGAATTTTTAGACCTTTTAGTAAAAGGCAAAAAAAAAAAAAAAATAAAAATTTTTTTTTTTGTAGAGATGGGCGTTAAAATTTTTGATGATAAGCATCACTTTCAACAATTTCCTTTTTTGAATGATTTCCCGAATTACGTAACACCTTTGCTTTGTTTAATTTACCATTTCAGTCACATGTATCCTGAACTATAATTTGTGTTCCTAATATGTAACACGATGTTCGTTTTTATTAAAATTAAATCATTTATTATATTTCTTCATTTACTCATTTACTCATTTATGAATAGACAATTTTTTCATTTTTAGTCAATAATTTAAAGTGAAACTTTATAAAGTTCAATCAATCATACTAATAATATAAAATATTTTAAAAACAATTTTTACAACAAATATCATTGAACTCGGATGAATGTTGCATGATGATTTTGTGTTGACTATGTTATTTATGCTAATTAGTATGGGTTTTATTTATAATTATTGCATACTAATACAATATCATATTTTTTATAGGTTTAAAAATCCGAACATTTATTTTAAGCGTGAACTCAAAATAATCGTTCAAACATGGATTCTGTAAATAATTTTAAGGAAAAATATCAGTAATATTATTGATTCAAACTTCTATGGTAATTCTGACAATTTGACATGGTCCATTAAAATTTGATCTCGTTAAAACAATTCTAAATGGTTTGAAAATGTTTCTTTATTTTGCATAGTTAACGCAAATATTATTGAGAATGAAAAATAACCAAACTTTTTTTTTATTTATACATTGTAAAATATAATAGTTTTCCGTATTAAAATAACCCTTTTATTAGATAATATTTCAAAAAAATAAAGTCAATGTACATTATCTTAACAATAGCGCCATTTCTTCATTCCCAAAAATAAGTAATAAAAAAAAAGGTAATCTCACGAAAAATCCTAAAACCTACCTTTTCAATTCGAACCTAATGAACTGTTGAATATTTTATAAAAATAGAAATAATTTAAAAAAATCGAAAACCAGCGTCACACTCATTTCTCACTTAAAAGTTTCTCATATGTTAAAATTCTGTTCAAGACTTGTAGTTAATATTGTAATTTATTAATTAATAAAAATAAAAATAAAAGCAAATAAATAAATGAGCCAAATAAAATTTAAGACTAACTTATCCTAAAAAGTGATTGAAGAACAAAAGGGTTGCGAAGTATAAGCATATGTAACAAATGAAGTAATAATATGACGAAATATTTTGAAAAAAAAATGAAAATTAAATAATACGTATTTAATAAAAAATTTAAGTGATTTCTTTACGAAATTAAAGAATGTAATACGATTTTGTCCATTAAAAGAATTTAAAAAAATTAAATCGTTTGTAGTATAACGACTTTATTGCTACACTACAAATTTAGATTTAAAAATCATAGTCATGAATTACAGAATTTATTATAAATATGACGAAGTATATTTTGCCCACAAAAAAGAATTTAAAAAAAATAAATCGATTGTAGCATCGCTACACTACAAATTTAGATTAAAAAACAATTCCTAAAAACTAAATGATTATAGTAAATTGTAACAAATATGATTTTATTCAATAAAAAAAATTAAATCGTTTAATCGTTTGCTGGGTCAAAATATACTTAGATTTCTAATGAAATCATTACGTTGTTATGTGCTTAATATTGGTATGATACTATGATATGGCGCTAATGACCAGTTCTTATGACCATTCATTGTTAATAAAAAAACTTTTTTGATAAGAATTGCAAAAAATTTTTTACTTTTTTACACAAGAAGTTTTAATTATTTATAATTTATTCATGTTGGACAAAGAATTTCTTTATGGAAAATTTTGAATTATTTCTACAATCTCTTTGGAAGTTTTTTTCATTATTTTGTATGGAAAAAACAATTTCTTCATAGAATTGATCCGTTATACACGACGCCTACCGACATTGGTGTAGCGGAAGACACGACGCTTACCGACATTGGTGTAGCGGAAGACACGACGCTTACCGACATTGGTGTAGCGGAAGACACGACGCCTACCGACATTGGTGTAGTGGAAGACAAAAAAAATTTTTTTATCACGGAATTTTCTAATAATCTAATTGCCCCTGCTTGGTGCTCTTTATCATTTCTCTTTATTGAATGACCTCCTAAATTATGTACATAAAGTTTGAGCCTAAAAATTTCCTGATGCAATATTACGTATGTAACCATTGTTCTTTCACTAAAAATAGTGTAATATGAAATGATATATTGAATAAAAGACTATATGACTGCTTTATATTAAAATATAAAAAAAAAATAGAACTATGTTTATAAAGAATATCCTCAAAATTCCGATTGATGCATGAATAATTTATGTAATAAATTGCTACGCAATTTTCATATTTTTTTTTTGTTAAATATAGAATAACATAATGGAAATGATTAACTTTGAACAAACGCTAAAATAAAAAATCTAGTCCCGTATTTGATTTGTTTCTTCCCCTTAATAACGAAAAAACTTAAATGCAATAATTGTGTAAATAAGCACTGTATTCTGCCACGATTTTATATAGACAGAAATATTGTAATGAATGCTCATTATCACACATTAAAAGTTGAGTGTGAAAAGTAACAAATATTTTGATGTAAATATTATTACAGACCATACCCTTTGTATTATACATGAGTCAACAAGAAATATATATTTTAGTTTAAAAATCGCTCGGAAATTTCATATTTCAAAAATTATTATGATCATGTTAGCAATATATAAATATAGAAAAGGACTAGCAGTTACCCGTTGCTCCGCACCGGGACCAATGAGTTTGTTTAAATAGAAAATTTTAGTATTATAATGTAATACTAAGTAAATTAAAGATGTTTTTTTTTTATAATTAGGAATTTAATATAGGTAATAATTAGTTAACAAAAATTAATAAAATAATATGTATTAAAGGTAAACATCGCCTGGGTCGTCGATCATGCGGCAGATTTAATATTTTTGATTGGCCAGATTTGCCACATGATCACGTCAGTTTATCGAAACTCATTTTCATTATAGGTTCGAGGTTCGTTTCCACGGTTCTTTTGGTCTCGAAATATCTTTCTTTTTTTTTTATTTCTAACTTACATTCTTACACTTTGTTTCTTACTAACTCTATTTCATTATTTTTAGTCTTTTAGCCTTCCGATTCTGCAATTAAGGTTCAGTTGTTTTTCACTTTACATTTCGTTTCTTATTTTTTTATGTTTCTGTTTCATATTTCATTTTTCACTAATTTTATTTCATCTTTTTTTTTAGATCTTTTAGTTTTTTTGATTCTACAATTAATAAAGGTATGTGTTTATTTTTTATTTATTGTTTCTATCTTATATTTCGTTTTTTACTAACTTCATTTTTTTTACTTTATGGTTTATTTTTTACTTGGTTTCCTATCATTATCTTTTGCTACCCAACCTCCTATCAAGATCATTTTTTTTTTATTTTTTGTCTCTCATCATTTTTCACCTCCTATTACTTCTCATTATTTCATTCTTTTCGACTCCCATTATTTTCTATTACATCTTTTCATTTTCCATTATTTCCTTTTCTCTCCTGTTTACTTCCCATCATTTCTTTTTGTCTCTCATCACTCCATTTTACCTCCATCACTCCTCTTCATCTTCCCATCACTTCTTTTGTCTCCCATCACTCCTTTTCGTCTCCTATTACCCCTCTTCATCTTCTCATTATTCCTCTTCATCTTCCCATCACTCCTCTTCATCTTCCCATCACTCCTCTTCATCTTCCTATCACTCCTCTTCATCTCCCATCATGTCCTATTTCTCTTTTTGTTCCTATCCCTTCTCATTACTCTTTTTTACTCCCTTTCATCTTCTATTACTTTTCAGTTTTCATTACTCCATTGTTATTTCAATTTTTTATTAGCATCTTTTTTCTTGATCATTGTAATTTACTTATCTTTTCTTTTATTTGTATCACTTCATTAAAAAATAAATACAGTGATTTTTTTCTTTAAATCGTAAATGTGTAATTTAAATTTTAATATTTGCAAATAAAATTTCATTAGATAAATAAATATGTTTACAAAAAAATTTTCTTTTAAAATATCTTTGCAATAAAATTTTTAAGTTTAGCCGATCAAAAATTGGCCAAGTTGAAAAAAATCAGCCGTCAGCCGATTAATAAATTTACTCTTTGTATATTGTACATCATGTGAAATATTTAAAAAAAAACCTAGACGACAATGACTTTTAGCAATTCCCAATTAATGTAGCTATTTATATTAATGATTTGACGTTTGAGTGTAGAATGAAATTTGGATTAATTAAGGAAATTGTGAAAAAATAATTATCAATAAAATTTGTTTAATTTTTTAGAAGTATTTTCGAAAAAACCTTGATATTATGAAAATATTACAAATATTTTTATAAATTAATTATAAATTTTGTAATTATTTCTTATTATTTTATATTACGGTAGTCTTAAACTTATAACTAACTTAGGAAAAATATTTGAACAATTAAATGTATTAGAATTTGTTCATTTCATTTATTATTATTCTTTTAATACTCATTTTACTTGATAAATTATTAATTTAACTAAATCATTTGAATTAAAATCTTTATTCAAAAATCCGGTGATTATTTAAAGAATTTCGGATATGGATTTGGTTATAATAATCTTCTTAATTATTAAATTAACAATTTCTTCAATTACTGTAATTAATTATAAAATATTGCAAAATATCAATTTTTTTTTTGATTTTTATGAATTTGAAAATCAAAAATATTTATCCAGCGTTCAATTTAATTGAAAAAAAACCTTAATCATCTTACGGTACATGTTACTTGATTTTTTTAAAAAAATAATAATTTTATAAATATACTTAATATATGTTTTATTTCTTTATTTAATAATAAAAAAAAATTTTAAAAAAAAATTGGGGAAAAAGAAAAAGGAAAAGAAAGAAATCGGTTTAAAAAAAGGGAAATTTCTGAAAAAAATAAGTACCGAAAAAATTCTGAACTGAAAAAAAGGACAATAATTCAGTCCAAAAAAGAGTGAAAAAAAAATTTTAAATAACAATACGGTCTAAAAAAAAGATCGAAAAGAAATAATATAAAAAAATTAGTCTTAAAAAGACTAAAACAATAGGATTATTTAAAAAAAAAAAAAAATAATTTCAGTTTGGGAAAAAAATTAAACCTAAACGGGAAAAGAACGAGAAAAAAACAAATTTTTCGGTTTGAAAAACGAGAACCGAAAAAAATTTGGAAAAAAAAATCGGATAAAAAAATTAATAAATCAGTAAAAAAAATTCTGAAATTGGATTAGTTGATTAGGAATGCACATGGATTTTTAGATCAGGCGGAGGCATGTCACGGGTTTTAATTATGCATGGCATTTCAAGTTACACAATTCAGACTATTTATACATGCTAGTCTAAATGTTACGGTTACACATTGTATTTTTTGATTATATAGATAAAAAATTAATGTGTTAATATTAGGACAGTTGCGGATGCGGGGATTTTAACAATGAATTATACAAAATGTGTAATTCTAAAGTGGAATGTCAAGTTTTAGAAGAAATTTGGGAAAATCGCTTTTAAATATAAGAACGGATATAGATGTAATAAAATTAGTGAAATAGAAAAAGGTAAAGGCGTCACCATGGTTGACAAAAAACGAAAACGTGAAGATCAGTTGGACGTGTCAACGGAAATATCATTGGAAGATGGTAGTGAAGAAAAAAAAAATACCTTAAAAAAAGTGCAAAAACATCAATAATATAATGCAAAAAGAATTAAAAAGAAATTATTGTAGAAAATATAGTTAGTAACAGTTGAATTATTAATAGACCTTATCAAGATACGTGGGAATACGTTTATAGACCAGATTTGTGTAATTTGTGATGGTTAGAATTTTTATTTTTTAGTAGTATATATTATTAATATAGTTTCAGTATTAATATTTTTATTAATACATCCATAAATAATTTGGATAGTATTCTTTACTATGTATTACTTTTATATTGTAAATTGTATAATGCAATAAGATAAATAAAAAAAATGCAAGTTACTAACAAAAAAAAAAAAAAAAAAAAAAAAAATAGATATAAAAAAATCTAAAAACAGCGTCACTATCTCACGTGATGTTCACGTTCGCGTTGTTTATTATCTGAGTGATTTGAATTTTTAGAGTGATCTTATCGATCTTATCTCTACTTCTCTGGTACTGTGTTGTGTTTGCCTTTCTATCTTAAAAGTACTGTTGTTAAGATGATAAATAAACAAACTGACTCGAAAAAAAAACAGAGAAATAGTGCACGACGGGCGTTTGATAGAAACCAGAATATAGAAAGAAGGGAGAGGAGGGACGGAACTTCAATAATTAAAAAGAAGAAAAGAAAGAGATCCAAAAATAAACAGCAGAATGATATTAATAGGCTTATAAAGTACAATAAACAAAAGCAAAACAAACTAATTGTATATAAGTTTACTGAGCAGTACGAGCAAACTGGCATGTATTTTTTAATTTTGTTTTTCAAGATAAAATGTTCATGTGTCTATAGTAACCTTTGATGCAATTATCATTATATAGATGATTTGCAGAATGAAGATAAAGATGATAAAGATGGTAAGTACGAGCTAGTAGGGTGATATTCTCCTGTCTGTTGTAACTTGCTTACTCAATCCGTGTGCGTGCTAATAGGAGAAATCTCCTGATTGCAATGAGCCACTCATAGATATAAAGTTTAGCAGAGTGCGTGCTTATAGGAGAAGTCTCCTGATTGCAATGAGCCACTCATAGATATAAAGTTTAGCAGAGTGCGTGCTTATAGGAGAAGTCTCCTGTCTGCAATGAGCCACTCGTAGATTTTACTAGGGCTGATCTTATTTTTTTTTTGTATTTTTAGATCAATCAACAACATTCGAAAATATTAATAAAGGCTCCGAAGTTGAAGAAGGTAACAATATTCTTAATCATAATGTCTTTAGTTGACTCTTATTATTGACTTTGATATGTTTTACGTTTTGACCAATTATTAGTGAACCCTGAAAATATTAATATTAACTCTGATTTACACCGAGAATTATCCAATGTTAAGGCACATAATTTATCATTATGGAGTAGTAATGCGATGCTACATGTATTGTCAACCACTGAATTGAATGACACAACAATGGATCAAGCACCACATGAATCACCAAATGCTGAATTGAATGACACAACAATGGATCAAGCGCCACATGAATCACCAAATGCTGAATTGAATGTTATGACAAGTAAGTACATATTATTGGTTTGTTGGTTTGACTATAAATTCAATATTGTTAACTTCTTAATATAATTGTTATTAAGTTCATTCGAGAATTACCCTCACTTATTTTCAAGAAGGCAAGTAAACTCACTTTGTAATCGTATTTTGTTTTATTCTAAGTTATTTAACCATTAACATTAATTAATAGTGATTCAGAAGTCAACATGGTGTTTATGTTGCAATTATAATTCATGTAATTGCCGCCCTATAATACATTCTACTTTCTGTTTTAAATGTGGAAATTATAAATGTAAAAATAATAAATATGGTTATAAAAGATATGGACGTCATATCTATAAAGATAGAAAATTAGCTGACCCTAAAAGTGTAAGCTATGTTTAATTTTGAAATTCTAATTTATTTTATTATAAAAATTTATTTTATTTTATTTTTATCATAATAGGAAATTAGTCATTCAGATATCAAATCGTCATTAGAAAAATTTCAAAATTATAATATATCAAGAAAAGGTAATATATAAGTTTATTTTTTATTAGCGTTAGTTATTAGCATTAGTACTCTATAAGTATTAATTATCTATTATATTTAATTTATTTAAGTTCATTGTTCATCAACAGAAGTGATGTGTCTCTGCAATAATTATGCTAATGAAAGAATTTTTGTTTATAACAATAATATCAAAGGGTGGAATTGTAAAGATTGTAAATTTATCATAAAAGGTATTATATTTTGAATATTTATATTAAATATTTTTAATTAATTAACTATTTATTTTCTATTTAGATGATTGTTTACCACCAAAGGATTTATTTAAGTGTTGGTGTAACTTTTTTGAACAGAATGATAGAGTTTTTGACTTTGACTATCAATTAAGAGAATGGATTTGTAGAGATTGTCGATATAATATTAAGATTTTACATAAATAAATGTAAATACTCTTTGTTTTTTTTGACAAAAGTTTCCATATTGCATGATATTTATAGACAAGTAAAATTCAAATAAATTATTACTGCTTATAAAATTATAATTGAGAAAAATATACAATTTCTAGTATTTTACCAGAAAATAGTCATGAATTTAAAGGAAATGAATTCAATAGAATGCACATCTATTGTGATTTATTAATTATTGTATTATCGTAGGAATTTTATAATTCTTTCACGCAATCTTTATTTTTTTTTTTTAGGTTATATAGCGCTTATGGGTCTCCAATATTGTTTTATATAACTCATTAAACATCTCAAACTTAGTACAATGTCTGTATGATTCCTTTACATTTACAATATTGCATTCTATTGTAACTGTAATGTAATTTCATTTTTAGTTTTCTACATTTTCTTAAGCAAATTGATTAATAAGCACATCAAAGAATCATTCAACTTATTACTAATAATTTTAAATATCGCTTTATATTAAAATACATTTGCGTACTCGCCGATATAATTTAAATATTGTCCATAAAATGTACTTACTTTATTAAAATTTAATAGTGCAATTGGTAGTTAATCAGTCATGTAAATACGAAGGTATTCAGGTTCAGTTACTAATGATAATAAAGAAAAAATTAAAATATCACGTTACAATTGATATTCTCATATACAGTAAACGTATTATTTATTCGTATTATTTATTCATTTTAATACAATTTTGATTGTTTTATTGTAAATACAAGGTATACAATATTTTATTACGATTATTAAACTTTATTAATACTTAATTATTAAAAAGCCGCGGTATTAATAAAAATAATCTTAGCATTGTCAAAATGATGTAACGATTTTCATTAGGGCAATGACATTTATTACGTAATATCCATTTACTATAAGCCCATACTCCCCCATCCTATGTAATATGAAAAATCTTACGTTACACTTATATGTTATATGACCTTTAAATACCCTCCCACCCCTAAAATATTACGTAATAAATGTCACTGCCCTTACAGTAAGACGTAATTTTGATGGTAAAAAATGGTAACTTTTTCTAAATAATTATATATTTATTCGCTATTAATCATTACTTTCCAATGAGGATTATTAATTGTAAGTAATTGTATTTTTTGATAATTGAATAGTTACTGTACTGTACATTAACATTAAATTATTAAAATTCATAAATTATCAATAGAATACCGAACCTATTTATTCTGAATCAACATTTAATTATTTTTAGCAATGATACTAGATAAACATGTGAAGAAATTAACGCCAAGTTTAAAGTCTAGTTTATTAGGACTCAATAGCTTTGTCGTAATATCTTAATTTTAATATTTATTTAATTATTTAATTATTTAATTAATTTTTATATTTTAATAATTAGTCTGCGAAACTTATAATAAAAAAGTGTGGAATAAATTTAAATATCGATGAACCGATTTCAGAAAGAACTAAATTAAACTTAAGTAAATTATTTACTGTATTACATAATTATAGAATATTAACTTGGATTTTCATTAGATTCATTTATTTCAACAAAATAAAGTAGAAAGATTACCGGGTGCATTGGTAAAATATAGTGCATATTTTTAATATTTTACTTAATCGTTTCGTTAAATAATCAATCTTTTCTATTTTAAGAAATTAATTACTCATTTAAACAAATACGAAGTTCCTATTGCGGTAATTTTTATTTTTTAAAATATACTAATTGAATTACTATTGAATATATTGAATAGCATCAAATATGTTAATTTTTAGATTTTTACAAGTTCCTCAAAAGAATTGTATAATAATATTAAAATAAGAGATAATATTGATTTTTTAAATTGTTTGGTGATAATATAACGTGTGGAAATGGTGATAATATTTACTTTGGTTAACCATAACCAAATTTGTTCTTATCTGCATGGAAAAAATCGACTCTCCACCAGTAAAAAATTGTTTAGTATTTGAAGATTCTTACAACGGAGTTAGAGCTATCCATTTTTTATTTCAATTCACTAAATTTAATTAGATTTGCTGGGTGACAGATAATGATTTGCAAAGTATAATTTTTGATGCAATCAATAACATTGATGATGTGTTATCTTCATTAGAATTTTTTAAACCAGGAATATGGCTTGCCAACTTTCAAAGATTAAAGATATTGATTTGTTTCAATAGCAGATAGTGTTTCAATGAGAGAAATCTATTAAAAGTGCTCATCATAAAGAGTTACCACAATTCAGTGCACTTGTAGACTAGGATTTGGACGCGTAAGTGCAAAACGAGACACTGGTGTTTCAATGTATACTACTCTAATAAAACTTTAAAATCATTTTTGATAAATATTGCTGGATCATATATCAGTTGAGCTCATTACATCATGACCAATCTGTATGACCATTCATAGTTAACAAAAATTTCAACAAAAGTTCTAGAGACATAAAGCTTTTCTTTTTCATTACTTATAATTTATTCTGCATGGGAAAACCAATTTTGATCACGCTACGTATGATGCCTACCAACATTGGTGTAGCGGAAGGCAAAAAAAAAAAAAAAAATTATTTTTATTATGGAATTCTAATAATCTAATTGCTCCTACTTTGTGCTCTTTATCATTTCTCTTTTTGAGTGATATAAAGTTTTGTATACCAAAAAAACATATTAAGTTGTATATTTTAACAAGTTCACTTATCATGATTATTCACCTGAAATTATTTTTTTTTATATACGCAATATTGGGAATGTGTGATTGCTGTTTAATTTATACAAGAAAAATAATTGATAGAAATGTTTATATGATTCTTTTGAAGTGAATAGTTTTGAAATGAGAATCCATATTTCAGAATTAATTTTCTTGCAAGCTTACAGATAAAAATTCCGAAAATTCAAATGTAAAAGTTACCCTTTTAATTAAAACATTTTACATTTTTACTCGTAAAGAAGAGAGAGAGAGTAAAATAAATACGGTGTTTGCAATAATAATAGAGTATATTTATATTTTGATGTACAATACAATTAAAAGAGAATCAGTTAAGATACTCTCATATTTTATTCGCAATTTTAAAAATACATTTAAAGAAATAAATAAAATCTTTACTAGACGATCATCCAATAAAGATCTTAAATAATAAATTGATTTTACTTTCACATTTAATGACATGATATTTGCATCCGTAAAATGACATTATATGTTATTGATAGCTTTATTATATAGTTAACAATGAGTAGTCTTTGTAAATGAGCAATAATAAAGAAAATATACACATATTTACGATAAACATTTTGCACTATGAAATGGTACAGTAATTTCATCGTTGTTCCACAAATTAAATATCCAAGAAATCATTGTAAAGTTGAAATCCGGCTAAGTTGTCGAACAAATTAATCTCACACGACCTATTTTATCTAACAAAAGTTAAAAATGCACAAACATTAAAAGTAACTTAATGAATTCTGATATTTGAGTAGTTCCATATGATTTAATTTAACCAATGTGCTAACAATAAACATGCGCAGCACACAAAAAAGTTTCCGAGGATAAACCATTTCCAGTCATTTAAAAATAATATTATATCCTTCCTATAAAATTTAAATAAACAATGCTGATATTCAAGAAAATTTAATCAATAACAAAAAATAAAATATGAATTTATATATGTTTATTAACTTTAAATACTAAATATTGCATCAGCTAATTTACATGTAATAAAAATTGTATTTCTTCGAATTTACAAAAAAAAAAAAAAAAATTCAACAATTTTTGTATTACGATCTAATGACGTCAGAGAAACATAAGCTTTATGCATTTAAAAAGCCCTGATTTAATTCTCACGAAAAAATGGATAAATTTAGAAGTCATCAGCAAACCATAAATCAAATACAATCTTTAATCTCGAAAATCTTTCCTTTTTCTTTGTTAATGGCACAATGATCATTAAAGTATTGTATGTAGTGTAACAATAATACAATTATACAATTACAAATATAAATAGGAATAATAGGATTATATTCTTGTTTTTTTTAATAATCTTTATTAATATTTATTATACTTTATTATTTTACTATGTCTCAATATATCGAAATTCAAGGTGCAGAAAGTACAAGCGAATAGGTCAAATGGATTGATGATGCTATTGATAAAGAATATTTTAAATATTATGAATATAAACATTTTAGTAATATACAAGAAATTGGTTCTGGCGCTTTTGGAAAAGTTTATCGTGCAAAATGGAAAAATCTAGGTCAATATTTAGCTTTGAAATCTTTCTTTAATTTAAATGATGTCACTTTAAAGAAATTGTCAATGAGGTAATACTATATGAACGTAATGGATGTTATTTTTATATATTTACTTTTCTATTAAATAATTTATATTTTTGAAATTTAGATTAAACTCCAACTTTTAATACAATTTCACAATAATATTATTAGTTTCTATGGAATTACAAAGTTCGGACCAGGTATGATATATATACTATTAATAATATTTAGAATTGGACATTGTAAGACTTTCAGTTGTAATTAATTATTCGAAAATCATAACGGTCAATTAAAAAATTACATGTTAGTAATGGAATATGCCGATGGTGGTTCTCTTAGAAATTATTTGAAGAAAAACTTCCATAATCTTACTTGGAATGATAAATATAACTTGGCGTATCAGTTAGCTTCTGCTGTATTATGCTTACATAGCGAGGGAATAGTACACCACGATTTGGTAATATTTTACTTCAAATAAATTTAAGAAATTATGACGTATTCCATAAATTTAATATATATACATATTCTTTTTGAATAGCACTCCGGCAATGTATTGGTTCATCAAAACACTATCAAATTAGCCGATGTAAAAAATTGGAGGATGAAATAAAATAAAGAGCAGGCCAACTTGATTTTTATAATTCCTAAAGCCATGTTGAGGGCTACAATATTCAAAAAGTCTTGATGCGTGATCGATTACCTGTTTGTTGAGTCAAGGATAGTGATGCGTTGGTATCTATTCGTAAAATTTCTGCGTGTTGTGATTTTTAACGGTAATCAATAAATTGTTTTTTCCATTGTAAGGAACATTGTTTCCAAATTTACATTCCAAACATGAGGATTCTAAACATTTAAATAGAGTGATAATAATTTGTTTGCGTGATGAAATATGTGCTTTAAGATTTTAGTTAGATCATGACATAAGATCGGAGTAGTAATAAAGCCTCGGTAGATATTGGTTTGTTGGTAAAAGCCCAATTAAAAGTAGGAGAATATTTAATTGTGTCATGGACACAAATGAGCAGTAAAACCATTTAGTTGGACCAACATTGCCAGAAGTTGTGCTAGGCGTGCAAAAACTGATTAAATTGCATCTTTTAAATTGGAGCAACGCTATATGTGTTGATTAGTTTCTTCCGCCAAGTGGCAAAGCAAACGGTTAAGTATTAATCTGGGGAAATTTCTTTATTTTATTGAATATATCTAAAGTGGGTAAAGTGTTACTTGAAATCTGAATTTCCCGTATAGAAACTTTGGTGTGTAGAGCGCTGGTACCATCTGATATTTGTTCTTTCTTTGCTCCTTTTTTCTTCCAGATCACGTGACTGCGAGTCTTTGCTGCGGTCCTCTGAAAGAGACGAAACATTTTTTTCGAAGAGCTTCGGCAATAATTTTCTGATAGTTTTACCCCATAATATCAATATGTTCCTGTATGTAATGACTGATACCGTTTGAAAATATTCTTGTAAAAGCTTCTAATAGATTTGATAGCAAAAATAATAGAAAATAAAAGATGATGTTAATTAACGTGTGCAACAAAAGGTGCCATACTTATGCAATGTTCTCCTGCACTTTGGCATCCAACAAGTTTCAGATTCGTCTTTGTTGGAAGAAATGAAGTTGTGAAATATTTTTATGATTATTTTTCTCACCGAATATTTCTTATTATCACATCCATAGGCATATTAGAGTCTTGAAATCTACAAGAGCGTATCAATGTTAGAATCAAAATTATAACTCTGATCTTTTAGCTAAACTTAGATATAATTTGGATAATAAAGGCATTATATTAGCCTAAAATAAATACTATATCACCTACCATTGTAATGATTATAAACCTAATTTCACATTTTCTATTTCCTATCACATAATATATTCCTTTGTAATATCTATCATATTGCCATTTTCATCGTTATAACAAGCACTCATATAAACACTTGTGAAATCACGATTATGCCAAAACATTATAGCATTCAACCCTTTTTTTCGCTGTTCTTTAGTTGGCCAATGATGGTTTGGTTCATCTTCGCATGTGAAATGTACCGTCCAAATGTCACGAATACAGAGACTCCTCTTAAGTAATTGGGAATATTTCAGAGTTCGTTCAAAATGTTCATCCAATTCCTTTTGAGTTGAAGTTGCAAGGAGTTCAAGTATTACTGTTGGTTTTCCAGGCCAACTTGAAGGTGCCGTTATCACCAAGTCACTATAAGAGTGTTTTTTTCTTTTTATAATATGGTATTGACTCATAACTTCGAACCCTATTGATGATATCCAATTTGTGAAAGTGCCAGCAAGCTGCTGTTGGTATACACTTTCTCGAGGAACCAATACATTAGAACATCCCCCAACAGGCACTTGTGCTGTTTTATACGAATGCAAAGCTGCCAATTCTATGTTTTCTTTATCAAAAACACGAACGGCATCACTTAGAGCTCTAAGCATATCTATGTTGTGATCTGTGCGTTTTGGTATTTCTGTTGATGGACAAAACTTGAAGATATCAGGCAGTACATAACGTAAAATCACAGAACGTATAAGTGGCGAGGCCACCATGAAAGTGTTGATTTGATCCTCTACAACTATCAAAATTCCTTGTCTGACAAGGTTATGTGCATGGATCAAATCTTTGGATCTTGTGATGGTCACTGGACCTAAGTTTGGCAAAAATTGCAATCGTAAAAGGTCTACAGTAGGCCTTGATTCCTCTTTAAGCAGATCTGTTAACATCCTCTCAAAGACAACATAACCATAAATGTTTTTATTCAATGACGTGAATAACAAATTTTTCCAGGATGCGAAACTAAAATTATCATCATTATCTGGTAATTTAATCTTTTCAATTAAATTTCCGCAAAGACATACCATACTAGCATGCCTATTAAAATAAAACATAGGATGATTTATAAGATTTTAATTATTTAAAATTGCTCTATGAAACATACCCGTTTGTCTGCAAGTATATGTCTTCAATGACTTTAGATTCCACATTAAGTTTATGTTCCGATCCAAATTCTTCAAAAAGTCTTTGCACCTGCTCTTCGGATAAATTAGGATTCTGAAAAGGGTCCCGAACATTAAATGGTGAATCATAAGTATTACTTGAATTCAGCTCAAGGATTCCAAAAGTACCAACAATGATTACTGAAAGGATAGGATAATTCACATTCATGCTCATGGCATGTTTAATGGTACGGAAGCAACCAAGGAATTCATCATGAACCTTGTCAATTGTGCCGTACAATCTGTCAAACTCGTCTATGAAGATAACAACAGACTTCCACTCATTGAATGCAACAGCAAAATCGCTTCCAGACTCGATAGTATCTAAACGGTTAAAAAAAGAATCATTACATATTTGTAGGCTTCTCCCTATATCAAGCCAGAAGCATTTTTCATTAGTGTCCATATTGACATTTTGCAGGGTGAAGCTGTAGAAAGAAAACAATCAGCATATGTCAACAGTTGTACGTTATTAATTATTGAGAGAATATTTACTAGAAACAGCAACAGTCATGATGCTCCGTCAACTGCTGCATAATTCGATACACTCGTGTTGTTTTACCGGATGACCGTGGGCCGTGAAGTGCCACAAACTTGCCCTCTAATATGGAATTCAGCAATTCTGTATTTGTTTTAGCTGGATCTGCGTAGTAGTACTTATCTCTTTGATCTGGACTGATAATTCCGTTGGTTGCCCAACTTCTGATACTAGGATATGGTACTATTAAATATTGTAAGAATGGGTACTGCCAGAGACCTTAATAATAAAAATATTATATTATACATTCTTACATCTTTTCGTAGATTTTCTTCTTCCCTCAGAATCTAAATTAGTGATATAATTAAGATTTGGGATATTAACAATAAAGACAAAAAAAGAAAATATATGTTGTATTGACTAAATTTATTACCAATGTTTTCTTTATTTTCTTGTTTCCTCTTTTTGAATTCCTATAATAGTAAGTAGGTTTAGTCTAGTAAGTTATGCAAAAAATTTTATATATTACTTACCGTCTTATTCTCTGTGATCACTCCCTTCCAATATGGCTTTAACCGATGCCCTTTACTTTCTGATTTTACCTGTTGTGAAAGTAATAATTTTAGCAGTGCAATTTTTTATCTAGTAATAATAAAGGAAAGAGTAATTGATTCCTCATCCAGAATCAATAGATCTTTATTAACAACAAAGTTAGGGCGCCCATATTGAGGACTTGGAGTGGTTACCAAGCTGTCAAATACAGTAATTCTCCTAGCAAAACGCCAGTAATTCAAAATACAATTATTCTTCTGAGCAAAACTCTGGTAACTCAAAATAAGCGTAAACTAGGAGTTACCCTTCCATTGCAATATAAGAAACGCACCTTTTCTGTTAAATCTGCAAAAATTTTTTTATCTGATAACTTTTTTGCAGCTCCTAAGAATCGGTCAACCCAGGTTTTGTTCAGTTCACGCCAGTCTTTTGAAGAAGGATGAGGAAACAATAACTTCACGATAAAGAACCAGGAATCCACGAAATGACCATTTTGCTTGACTTCTCAAATAAGAGATGAGCGCTAGAATTAAAATCTCAGTTATAAGCTGAAAAATTTTTTACTGTGTTAAAGTGCTATTTGCAAGACTCACCAGAATAACCTTGATATTTGACCATGTTTATCTTTTATCAAAAGGTGAAAAATTAACGCGTATAGAAGATCTTAAACACGAACTTTACACGCTTTATTGATTTCTAAGTACTACGCCATGATTATGACATCATTGATTTCCATAAAAGGCTAATATTTCCAGAATTAATAACCTTATATCATGGAATTTTGAATTATTTACTTACAGAAATAACGAATAAAATTTTTATAGGGATGGTTTTGGGCTTTGTTTTCTTTTATACTCTGGCTCGCATCTTTTAATGGTTGGCTTTTGTTTTTATTTTTGCTTTTATTTATGCTTTAGTCTTTCGTATCTTTTGATGTTTTACTTTGATTTCATATCTTTTTGTCCTTAATATATTGGTTCACTTTTTTTAATACTTCAATTTCATAACTATGATTCTTTGACATAACAATGATTATAACAGTACTATAAATAACTTTGTAGGAGAGACAAACCCACTCGCTGACTGTTTAAATAAGGAATAAAAGGAATGGTA